GGTTACTATAACACATGGGGATATTTACCATAACGTTATAGTAAACCACTTAGTAAGGAGTTATTATAATCTCGTAAATTAACATAGTAATTATCGTAACTCAAAGTGGCTACAGAATAAGTTATTTTGTAGTCAGCTATATATATATATATATATATATATATATATAGTATATTTTGTAGTCAGCTACAAAATAAGTTATTCTGTAGCCACCTAAATTTACGATAATTTTATATACTAATTTACGATAATATCAATACATATTTACGATAGTTGGGTTACTATAACACATGGGGATATTTATCATAACGTTATAGTAAACCACTTAGTAAGGAGTTACTATAATCTCGTAAATTAACATAGTAATTATTGTAACTCAAAATGGCTATAGAATAAGCTATTTTATAGCCTACATGGTAGTATATGTATATATATATATATAAATATATATATATATATATAACAAGCACCAACCTTCACTGACTGAGGGAGACGGCACAATCTTACAAAGTTACAATCATGCCTGGACGCCATTTGCCAAAATATATCCTTTTCTTTCCTTCTAAGGGTGCGTTTAGATCCAAAAAATTTTGGATTTTGGGTCACTGTAGCATTTCGTTTGTATTTGGTAATTAGTGTCTAATTATGGACTAATTAGGTTTAAAAGTTTCGTCTCACGATTTCTCGACCAACTGTGTAATTAGTTTTTTTTTCGTCTACATTTAGTGCTCCATGCATGTGCCGCAAGATTCGATGTGACAGTTACTATGTAAAAATTTTTGGCAACTGAACGGGGCTAAGTATAGAGGCCAAGAAAGAAAGAAAGCCCAGGGCCCTATGCATCCTACTTTGACTAAGCAATGTCCTGGACCTTGTTTAGTTCGCGGTTAGGAATCAGTATTTGACACTGTAGTATTTTCGTTTGTATTTAACAATTATTGTCCAATCATGGTCTAACTAGGCTCAAAAGATTCGCCTCGTAATTTACAATCAAACTATGTAATTAGTTATTTTTTATCTACATTTAATACTCTATGCATGTGTCCAAAGATTTAATATGATGAAGAGAGAGTGAAAAAATTTAGAATCTAAACAAGGCCCTGGTAATTAGATACTCTACTCCAGTGTCCTGAAAAAGGAACTCGTGCAGGCATGCCCTACCTGCCCCCTGGACCAACAGAACCCCAGGCATCCCAACGAATGCGTTGCAAATAAACATCGCCCGATTAAATGACTAGTATATACATTCAATAAACAAGCTCATCCTAAGCAGGTCATGGGGAAACCATATTGTTTTACTACTACTAGAATCAAGCAGTGCAGCGGTAGCTTCCTTAAACCACCAATCACATGACATAGGCACACGGAGACCAGCTAGCTAAGCATGAGATTTTGATTTTCTGTGTGCTCTGTGGCTGCTGCCTGCCCTGCCTGCCTGATCGAGCTGGTTGCTACTACTACTAGCTACTCCAGGTTCAGTTCAACGGCGACGACAATGGCAGCAGCATGCATGGGCATGGCAGTCGGAATCGGATCGAGCACAGGCAGGGCCGAGGGCATGATGGCATCAGGCATGGCATGCGCGGTGTGTACGGAGGAAGGGGAAGGGCAAGGGCAGAGGACATGGAGAGGACACCCCAAGTCAAGATCGTGCACGAGGTGGGGTTGGGATCGGGAGGGCGGCAGCTGGCGGCCTGGAACCGGGCGGCGGCGGCGGCATGCCTTGCCGGGGGGGCCCGGAGTTGGACTAACCGACCAAGCTTTTCGATCTGGACTAAAATGACCATTTGTTTATGCTTACTGTGTACGGGTTACTGTAGGACCACTGACTGAATGCCGGCTGGCTGGCACCGTGTGGAATGGAATGGAGTGATGCAGGCTAAAATGGTCATTTGTGATGCCTATTGGTAATCTGGACGGAGCTTCAGGGCCTTGGCTAGCAGTTAGCTTAGCTAGACACCGCATTCATTTTATTTTTTTCACAATTGCGATGAAGCTGATGGTCATGGATCGGATCATTCAATTGCTGATTGGTAGCTGAGGTCCAATGCGCGGCTGCGAGCTCATTCATTGTTTGTTGCATTGCATCAGTACGTGAACCACATCGCCAAAAAGCGAGGCATCTGTGTTCATCATCGACGATAGTTCTGCGTTCAAACACACAGGCTGATCGAGCTTTTCGAGCATCTTATCTTAGGGCGTGTTTAGTTCTGAAATTTTTTAGCTTTTGGCTATTGTAGTATTTTTGTTTGTATTTGGTAAAAATTGTCCAATTATGGACTATTTAGGCTTAAAAGATTTGTCTCACGATTTCTCGGTCAACTGTGTAATTAGTTTTTTTTTCGTTTACATTTAATACTCCATGCATGTACCGCAAAATTTGATGTGATAAAAATCTTGAAAATTTTTGGGTTTTGAGTTGCATCTAAACAGGGGCCTTATCTCAGACAAGGCTTTGCGCTGGCGCCGTCGGCTGTACTCTGCAACGACACATTCTTGTGGTCCCGTCCGTGGATGCAATGCGTGCATGAGTCTGATGGTACGGTAAACATGTGCTCGAGTCTCACGTCGTACAGTCGATCCCACGGCTGCCAGAGGCAGTGCCAGTGCCAGCCGATCACGTACTGAACGATGCCCCCACAGAGGCCCAGATAGTCCGTGTCCGTCCTACGCAGAGCAACGTCAGCAGCGAGAACCAAAGCATGGATGATGGATGGAAGCGTCGCTATCCCGGAATCCCATGGGGCTAGGTAGTCGCGCCCATGGACATGCTGATCTATCTTCGTTTGCTGTAGCTTATCGTAAACGATCGTAAATTTTTAACCATAATAGTATTTTTCTCTCATACAAACCAGCCAGCAGTACTTCTTCACGAATCAGCACCCATACGAATCAGCCAACCGAACTATCCCCTCACCATCTGTCTCGGTCATGCATCTCTCCGTCCGCATCAGCTCGACGCGGTTTGGCGGTCGGAGGCCAGTTCGACTCCAGCTAGCAAGCAGGCTCGCTCTCGCTCCCCTCACCCCCTGCCTGCCGCGCGGCTGACCAGAGGCAGAGGCCAAAACGCTAGCGGAACCCACCAGCACACACAGCCCTGACCCCCACGGCCCACCTCCGTACGGCGCCGGTTGGTTGGTGTGCTTGTGCCTGGTCACGCCAGAACGCCCCTCTCCTCCGTCTGCTGACGCCGTCACGCCCTGCCCCGCCCCGCCCCCACCGTGCCGCTGGCTGCATCTCGGACGAAGCTGCGCGCGAAGGCGCGGCAACCCCCGCCGCGCATGATACTGGGTACGGTGGCGCTCCACCTGGCAACCGGCTCCGCTGGATCGGCGTGGTTTCTCACTACTGTACCGTGCGTGCGAGGTGCAGCTCGGTCTGTCGCGTGGCCGTGCGCGCGGGGACACTGGTCGTCGGGCGCGAGCGCGTGCCCGTCGTGCGTTTGCAGCCTTGCAATGATCGCGGTCTCGCCGCTCGTGTCGTACGGTCGGGGACGATTGCGAGCGAGCTCGGTGGTGGAATCCGGCGTGTCCATTGTTTTGTTTTGCTGAATAAGTGAAGATTTTTGGGGTTGAGGTGCATGTGCATGTGCCTGGCTGTGGCTGCCTATCCTTTTGTGTGGAACGGAACGGAGAGGGATGGGCGGTGCACAGTGCGCGTTCCTGTGCGTGGCCAACTCGCCGGCTGTTCGTTCACGGTCGAAAGTAATTAGCACATGGTTAACTAAGACCCTGGGTGATGATGGCCCTGATGGGTGCACATGTTCGCTCTAGAATGTAAGGTGTGTAACTTTTTCCTCAGGTTGTCTTGCGTATAGCTAGCTGGCGTGACCATGTACACAGACGTCGACGATGTGTCGTGTAGCTATAGTCACCAAATGAACTGAACGTGCTTATCGATTTGGACGCTGTTAGTGCGACGAGGAGATGACGTATTAGCTAGCTAGTAGTGAGTACTCTCACCTCTATGCGTAGATCAGTAAATTGTCAGGAAATCAGTGTACAGATCAAGCTTCGAAACTTCTCTCAGCAGCCGGGAACACATGAAACGTGCCAACGTTCCTTGTTTCGAAATTAACTACGTTCATCGCTTCAGAAACAATTACATTCATAACTCAGAAAAAAAACATTCCAATGGTATAAAAAACCTTCTATATTTCTCATCCATATCATTCCTGCACCTAGCTGCTAGAGAGCTAGCTCGAGCACATCTACGATCGAACGTTTGGTCTGGCACCATTACACCAACCACGCAATAGCGGTAAAATGGCCAGGCCAGTCCAGTTTGTACATGTGTACAACACAAAATGATGATCGATCGATTTGAGATTCTTCTTCCCTTATGAGTTATGATCCATCGAGCAAGCCACGGCACGGCACGCCAGCACTAATTACACTTATCATGTAATGCATGCATGCCGATGGGGCTGCTGCAGTGCTCTGCAGCTGCTTATCCACGCTCCATCGAGTAAACTTGAAGCATACAGCCTGTCGCCGCTGCTCGATGGTCGCTGACATGTTGCGTAGGAGTACGTCGGAATTAGTAGGATCCTTCGTCCCTCCATCCATATCTTAGTATTTCCTCTGAATTATTGCAGAGAATGCAGTACTGGTACTGATGAAGTACGGTCGAATATCGATGCTGTATTGGACGGAAAAACAAATGCTGGCAATATCAGCGTGGTGTGAGTATAGTCGTTAGAAAAATGCCCATCACACGCACAGCAGCGTGGTGTGAGTATAGGCGAGACAAATAATACGTGTGTGCACAGTCGGATGCGGCTGTGTCCTATAAATAAGCCACCGGACGCTGCATTTCGCAGCAGCCGGTAGCCACTAGCCACACACAACTACTGACCTACCCCCAGCTATATATCTTGCATAGTTGCCTTCTTGATCGAGCTCTTGCACTCCTAACCATCGACATCACGCATCGAACTTTCTAGCAGCCAGAGCATCAGAGCCAGGAGCAGCTAGCGCGGCGCACGACAGGTTCGCGACATGGTGAAGGGCGCGCAGCTTCAGGACGCGGCGGTCGACGGCGCCGCCGGCAATGCGGTGGCGGCGAGGCAGGGCGCCGGCGCGGGAGCGGGCTGCGGCAGCGGCGGCGGCGGCGGCGGCGGCAGGAGGCAGTACAAGGGCGTGCGGATGCGGAGCTGGGGCTCCTGGGTGTCGGAGATCCGGGCGCCCAACCAGAAGACCAGGATATGGCTCGGCTCCTACTCCACCGCCGAGGCCGCCGCGCGCGCCTACGACGCCGCCCTGCTCTGCCTCAAGGGCTCCGCCGCCGACCTCAACTTCCCCGTGCACCTCCCGTTCCACATCCCCGCTGCCGCCATGTCGCCCAAGTCCATCCAGCGCGTCGCCGCCGCTGCCGCGGCCGCCGCCAATGCCACCTGCAGCCCGCTGCAGGCCGGCGCCGCCACCGCGGCGGCGGCGCCCTACTCGGCCTCCACGGCCGCCAACGACGGCGCCACGCCTCCGTGCAGCTACTACGGCGACGCGTCGTCGGGCGTGAGCTCACCGGAGACCGGGAACACTGACCTGTGCTACGACGGCATGGACATGGCGGGCGACGCCGACTTCGCCGCGCTCGCGGACATCGAGGCCTTCTTCCAGTCGCCCAAGTGCATGGAGTACGGCATGATGGACCCATGCAGCACGTTCTTCGCACAAGCGCCCATGGCGACGGACGCGGCCAACGAGTGGGAGGAGGAAGGTGAGATCAACCTCTGGAGCTTCTCGTCCCTCAACTGATCGATCCATCATCAGCTCCTCCACTAGACATCAGTTCGGAGGTCAAGCCTCAAGTGACCATCATTCATCATCAACCCAACACTGACTGATTAATTACGACTGCAGCCTACGTGATCAAGAATTGGTCGCGGTATAAATAAGCATTATATATATACGCGATTAAGGATTATTTTATTCTTACTATTAGTTAATTATTGTACTACTATATACTACTAGTGCAAGGCTAATTATGCAATGTGGGGGAGCTCTCATGGAGCTACATGTTTTAAGGCAGCTGTCCATGGAGTCAACCTCCTCTCAGTTGCATGCCATGCTATGTGTAGAAGCTGTGTTTTCTGCAAGTTCAAGTAATGAATTATGAATTATGATGATGTACCCCTACTTGTGTCCAAAGCATCATCCCTTTTCTATTTCAGTCATTGGACGATATTATACTACTCTACGGAGTAGTATCTAAGTAGATGCAGGATTTCTGGGATCTTTGTGACTGAAAATTTTGTGTGGGCCATATATGACTGCTATATGCCTTTATTTGTGCTTACCGATACACAGTGTCAGTACCTCTCATTCTCTTATTAAACCTGGACCTCAACTGTGAGATTTTTTTCTTAATCCCTATTGAGCTGCTGCCACATCAGTTCAAGGATTTGCTCCCTCGGCCGCAAAAAGAAACAAAGAGGATTTGGCCCCAGTGTTAACGAGGGAAGATAACTTGATTTGATCCTAGCTAGAAATAAAAATTTTGATTATATTAGAAAAATTGCTGGCAACCAAAATTGTTCATTTTGTGAAGTTGTCAAAATGTGAAACGGACTTCACCATTGCGTTCCTCTCGTCGAGATGGTCAAAAAACATATATGGAACATCCAATTCGGAGTCCGGATGAAGGAGTTATGCCCCGGAAAGATGCTCTGTTGTTGGCACTTCCGACCCAAGTTGGAAGTTTCGATAGTCGGAAGTTTCGACAGTTGTCAGGACTTCCGGAAGTTTGAAAAAACCTGCTTGGGTGCCCGGGGTTATCCCTACGTGGGGAGTTCCAATAAATGTCGAAAGTTTCGACTGTCGAAACTTCCGACAGACCTAATAAAAAGCCCAGTTCGGATCTGGCCTTTTGGGTTCTGATTCGAACTATTCCAAACTCGTGGAAAACTTGGAAAATAAGTCTTGGAGAGGTTTTCTACTGGAATAAGACCACCCCCCTCTATATATATGAGAGGATCATGGCCGATTGAGTTTCCATCTATCTAATCGACACAAAAACACAACAAATCAATTTACTACCTCTTTTTACCCTTTTTTCCCAATCTACCTCTTCTCCTCGTTCTTCGTCGGTGCTGCATGGCTGGAGGATCGACGACGACGATGCTCTAGAGCGGTCAGGCCGGCTAGAGCAGCCCATAGTTGCCGCATGCCCTGACGAGGTCCCTCCCAGGCATGTGGGGTTTCAGGTCTCAAGAGACCTCGCCGACATGTTATGCGTATCGCGCTCCCGGCGAGGCTCCTCCGGCGACGTGTCTTGCATATCGTGCTCATCGTTGGAGGCACAAGGTCCAGGTGTGGACATCCCCTAGGCGCCGGCCAATCCCAAAATCGATTAGGCCCTACATAGAGCAATCTAGCTCTTTTGTCGAGTGTGTGACCTAATTAAGCGTCAACACACCTTTTGGCGACTCCGCTAGGGACGATTGGTTCAGCTATCTCCTATAGCCGATCTTTCTGACCTAGCCAATTCGTTGGTTCCAATCTATCCTTTTTGTGTTTTCATTACCATTGCTTAATCTGTCCCAAACTCCGCCTATGTTATCTCAACATAGCAGGTCCCAAGTCCTGGTAAAGGAGGATGGTTGTGATAGGCATGGCGAGCTAATGTTAAATCTAGCCATTCTAATGGAGGTGAAACCCGAAAGAAAACCGTTGGGGCATAACCCTCTTAGCGATGCGCCATATCGGAACCCAGGTATGGTGTTAAATGGGCAAGGGCCGGGTCGGCACCCCTTGGTAACGCGCCGTGTCGCAATCTGGGCATGGTGCCAAGTGAGCAAGGATCGGGTCATTGCTTCCTTAGTGGCACGCTACATCGGCGCCCGGGTGTAGTGAAAAATGAGCAAGGGTCTTCACATCTGAATCGACGGGTGCGAAGGGTAAGGAAGCTAGTCGAACCAACTAGGACTAGGATCCGTTTAGGTAGTTGGAATGTAGGGTCGCTTACAGGTAAGTTAAGAGAATTAGTTGATACAATGACTAGGGGGCGTGTAAATATATTATACGTTCAAGAGACTAAATAGAAGGGTCAGAAGGCGAAGGAGGTGGACAATACAGGTTTCAAGCTTTGGTACACAGGGACAGTCATGAATAGAAATGGAGTAGAAGTTTTGATTGATAAGAGCCTCAAGAATGGTGTGGTGGGAGTGAGAAGGCAAGGATATATGATTATCTTAGTCAAGCTTGTCGTTGGTGATATGGCCTTGAACGTAATTAATGCGTATGCGCCCCAAGTAGGCCTCGATGAGAGTGCTAAGAGATAGTTCTAGGAAGACTTAGATGGCCTGATTAGAGCTGTACCTAGTAGTGAGAAGCTTTTTATAGGAGGAGATCTTAATGGGCATGTAGGTACTACAAGCGTAGGTTTCGAGGTAGTTCATGGAGGTTTTGGGTATGGCAGTAGGAATCAGGAGGGGAGGAAGTTCTGGACTTCGCGGCAGCTTTTGACCTGATGATAGCCAACACTTTTTTTAGAAATAGAGAATCAAATCTAGTGACCTTCAGTAGCGGACAATACTCTAGCCAGATTGACTTTGTCCTCGCAAGAAGAAAGGACAAACGAGCATGCTTGGGTTGCAAGGTGATACTAGGGGAGTGTGTTGTTTCTCAACATAAGCTTTTGGTGGTAGACTTTCGTTTTCAGGTGCGTGCCTGTAGGGATAAACAAGCTAAGATTGAAAGAACAAAGTGGTGGAAACTGAAATAGGAGACGTCAGAGGTATTCAGGGAAATGGTTATCAAAGAGGGCTCTTGGAAGGAAGAAGAGGACATAAACAATATGTGGGAGAAGATGGCAACCAACATTCGGAAGATGGCCTCAGAGGTGTGTGGAGTAACCAAAGGAAGTGGAGGCAAGGCTAAAGATACTTAGTGGTGGAACGAGGAAGTCCAAAGGGCTATTAAGGAGAAGAAAGAATGCTATAGACACTTGTACCATGATAGGAGTGTGGACAACATAGAGAAGTACAAGGTGGCAAAGAAGACTGCAAAGCGAGCTGTAAGTGTGGCAAAGGGTAGAGCGTACAAGGATCTTTACCAACATTTGAGTACGAAGGAAGGAGAGAAGGACATTTATAGGATGGCTTGAGTTCATGAGAGAAAGACAAGGGACTTCAACCAAGTTAAGTGCATTAAGGATGAAAGGGAGCATCTCTTGGTGAAGGAGGATGAGATCCAACATCGATGGCAAGAGTATTTTGACAAATTGTTCAATGGTGAGAATACGGACACAACCTTTTAGTTGGATGACTCTTTTGATGACATAAATAGGCGCTTTGTACGGAGAATCCAAGAATCTAAGGTCAGAGAGGCGTTGAAAAGGATGAAAGGAGGTAAGGCGATGGGACCGGATGGTATCCCAATCGAGGTGTGGAGATGCCTTGGGGACATAGCTATAGTATGGCTAACCAAGCTGTTTAACCATATTTTTCGATCGAACAAGATGCCTGACGAATGGAGGAGAAGTATATTGGTACCGATGTACAAGAATAAAGGGGATATTCAAAGTTGTACTAATTATCGGGGAATTAAGTTGATGAGCCATACTATAAAGCTATGGGAGAGAGTTACCGAGCATCGCTTGAGAGCAATAACATGGGTCTCTATGAACCAATTTGGTTTCGTGCCTGAAAGGTCAACCATGGAAGCCATTTTCTTAATAAGACAAGTTATGTAGCGGTATAGGGAGAAGAAGAATGACCTACACATGGTTTTTTATTGACTTGGAGAAGGCTTATGATAAAATACCAAGGAATGTTATGTGGTGGGCTTTGGACAAACATAAAGTCCTAACGAAGTACGTCGGGCTCATTAAGGACATGTACAACAATGTTGTGACTAGTGTTCGAACAAGTGATGGAGACACAGATGACTTCCCGATTTGGATAGGACTACATCAAGGGCCAGCTTTGAGCCCTTATCTATTTGCCTTAGTGATGGATAAGGTCACAAGGGACATACAAGGGGACATCCCTTGGTGTATCCTTTTCACGGATGATGTAGTGCTAGTTGATGAAAGCTGGACAGGAGTGAATCAGAAACTGGAGTTATGGCAGGAGACTTTCGATTCCAATGGTTTTAGACTCAGTAGAACTAAAACTGAGTATATGAGATGTGACTTCGGCACTACTACTCGGGAGGAGGAAGATATTAGTTTGGAAGGTCAAGTAGTGCCTAGGAAGGATACCTTTCGATATTTAGGATCAATGCTACAGAGAGACGGGGATATTGATGAAGATGTTAGCCATAGAATCAAAGCAGGGTGGATGAAGTGGTGCCAAGCATCTGGTGTCCTATGTGACAAAAGGGTACCACAGAAGCTAAAAGGCAAGTTTTATAGGACGGCGATTAGACCTGCTATGTTGTATGGTGTAGAATGTTGGCCTACGAAAAGACGACATATTCAACAGATAAGTGTCATGGAAATACGTATGTTGCGTTGGATTTGCGGTCATACAAGATGGGATTGAGTTCGGAACGATGATATACGTGATAGATGAGGGGTAGCACCAATTGAAGAAAAGCTTGTCCAACACTAGTTGAGATAGTTTGGACATGTCCAACGGAGACCTCCAGAGGCACCGGTGCATAGTGGAATCCTAAGCCAGGATAGTAATGTGAAGAGAGGCAGAGGAAGACCGAAGTTGACTTGGGTAGAGGCAATAAAAGGAGACTTGAAAGGATGGAATATACCCAAAGACTTAGCCTTAGATAGGAGTGCATGGAAAATAGCTATTCAT